GGAAGAAAGAGAAGAGCTTCAATGAGGGATTCTCGATAAGCGAACGGAGGAGCAAACAGTAAAAAGGAACGTAGGAGCCGCGTTTCACGGTCTCGCCGTTCGTCTTCCTCCGCTGTTCATCCCTCCCGTCGATCGAAATCGTGATAGTCGTTCTACTTGAAAATCCCTCGCAAATTGTTCCCGTAATAATGGAGGATTAAAACGAACCCGCTCGCGCACGAGCGCAATTTCATTCGCGCGGCAAATCCAGAATTTTGTCATGTCAATGAAAAAAAGTTCGAATTTTAGGATAGGGACATCCAAACACTAAAAGCGATATGACTTTTTGCCGAGAAAACCATTTTTTCCCCCCGGTATTTTACGCCGATACTCGATATTTGAAATTGTAAGTATAATATGTAATATTATCGTACTATAATCGCGATTGAATTGTTATTGCAATTTTAGGGTAGAAATATTCAAAATTAAAAACAACGTGACCTTTCGCAGAGAAAAACATATTTTTCACCGTGTTTTACGCCGGTACGGCTACTCGATATTTTCAATTCTAAGTTTTGCAATATCCCGATTGAATTATTATCGTGATTTTAGGATAGAAATATTCAAAGGGATGTGACCTTTTGTAACAAAAAAAAAATACACTTTTTAATCATCATATTTTTACGCCGATACAATTATTCGATATCACAGCTTTTCTAAATATCTAAATTCTAGATATGTAATATCTCCACTAAATTGTTATTATAATTTTAATGCTGGGGTAGCCAAAACTTTAAAAACGACGTGACCTTTTATTGCGAAACAATATATTTTTGACCAAATTTCACCGATACGTCTATCGATTCTAAATTGATTGTGCAATAATTCAATTAATTTATTGTTGTGTGATTTTTAGATAGATTATCCAAAATTAAAAGTGACGCAACTTTTTGTTGCGAAAAAACATATTTTCACGATATTTTACGCTGAAACAGTTATTCGATATTTTAAATCCTAAGTATACAATATCACAATAAGATTATCACTGTGATTTTAGGATAGAGATATTCAAAACTGAAAAAGTAATGTTATCTTTCATCGAGAAAAAAAACATTTTTCATGGATATTTTATATGGATGCACAGTACCTAAAAAATTTCAATAAATATTGTTTTTAGTAAAAAAAGGAAAAAAACACGTAAACTGAATTGTCAAAAGTATTTATCTATAGGTGTTGGACTTTTTCATGTTTGAACAAAAGAAATATTGATGTGTAATTTAATTTAGTTTCTATGCAAAGAAATAAAAAAATAAGGAAATTTAAAGTATATTGATGAAACACACACACACACACACACACATTTAGTCAAGGTTAAAAATTGTGAACAGGAAACGTATTCTATTTTAAAGCATCGTTATGTAAAGAAGAGCGGGAGAAGCAATCAGAATCTACAAAAACAAGTGATATTGTGCTAGCGGATAAATAAACACTCTAATGTGTTATAATGTTAGTTTATTGTGATGCAAATTCTTTTAGAATAATTTCAATTCATATGAAAAATTTGAATATAAAATATCTTCAAAGTATATACAGAAAATATTAATTTCTGTATATAACTTTTCATAAATATTTAATGTAAAAAATGAAAATAATTTTTCACTTTTTTTTCTATTTATTTGAAAAATTTATTCTTTTCATTTATTTAAACCTTTGAGCGTCATCTCGATATTTTAAATTCTAATTATACAACATCTCAATTAGATTACTATTGCGTGTTTAAAGTAGAAATATACAAAATTGAAAGCAACGTTTTTGACATAAAAAGATATATTTTTCGTGACATTTAATCGTCAGTGTGGTTACACCATACTTTAAGTTATAATTACGCAATGTCTCTATTAGATTATTCCGCATAATATGCGGATGTTATGGTAATCATATTAATGCTAAATGCGTAGTCGGAAATGTAAACACTGGAGTTGTTCAACCATGATTAGAATATACAGAGAGCAACTCCGCTTTCACTGTATTAAATTTTACTCCCATGTGTTGTAAATCCCTTCATTAAATTATCTTCTTACATTAAATTAATATAAAACTAGATAAATTAATAAGTCTGACTTGGAGTCTATAATTAATCTGTAATGCAATTTACATAATAGTTCGATGGTAATAAATCCACCGTATTATCTCTTGAAAAGTTTCGTTGTGCTATGTCAAACGCATGTCTCAACCATCGCAATTTTCATTGCTAAAAACTCTACCTGGGAGCTCGGTTCTCATTCTAATGCAACTGCGCATTACGTGATTTACGTAGACATCGCAGCTGTTCTCTCGAAATGGAACGAGAGGTGTGATGAAAGGGAGAGAGAGCAGAAACGCCGTCTCATTAGAATCGACTAATTAAGGCCGCTCGTTTCCATTAATGAGTTTCCGCTATTAATCACTCATTCAAGATGGCCTAAAAGCAGTTTACATATCGATTACACGGTTTATATATCAATTACATCTCTTTTTCCTGGCAGCGCGGAAATTTCGTTATATTGAGTCGGAACAAAAGTTCGTAGCGTCACTTCATTTCTATCATGTTTACATGCTTTTACAAAAATTTAGCAATTATAACATTCGATGGAGCAAAGTTTCAGTTTGAAGAATTTGTTTTTTCAATTTCAGTGCAATGACTTTTAACGGAGTTATGAACAATCAAAATAAAAATGCTTCTTTTATTTAACATGATAACTCGGTAACAAAGAATCTTAGGAATATTTTTCAAAGATAATTTTATAGGAAAAACTTTAAGCTTTTTTCGTTAGAAAGTGGAAAACTTCCGTAAATTTTTTTTAATACCTACGTAACAGACTCATATAGTGAAAAGAAAATTTCTCATTTTGTCCAGTTTTCTATATGTAAAAATTACCACTCACAAAAACACAAAAGACATAGTAGCCTTTCGAAAATAGATATTTTAAACTTTAAAATCCTCTTTTAAAACTTAACTTTCGTTCATTTTTAACGAAATTATAGCTGCTTGAACTTTGAAGTTCGTAGCGCTACAAAAGAACTTATGTTTTGGCCCAATAATAATAACTGTTCAACACCAAAATTTTCTTTAAAATATCGTACATATTCCAAAGATTTTTCCACTGAATTCGATGTCGTCGTCAAAATTTGCATAGCTGATCAGGGTAATTAGAGCGAAATGGGTCAAAAAAAACCAATTTACTATTACACTCCAATTTACTAAAAATCCTGATATGCCATGCAAACTCTACCAACAGCATTGTGTTCAGTGTGAAAAAATCTTTGGGATATAATATTATGGCATTTTGAAGAGAAAAAAAAGTGATTTTTTGTTAATCTATATGTAATACGAGTACAGAATGTTTAAAATTCAAACAACCATACGATGAAAATGATGATCATGAACTAAAATTCGTTCTTGAATTGTACTTTTAGATGCCATAAACTTTACTTCGAAACAACGTTTTATTTTATTATAAAATAACATTGAAAATTAGTTGAAATTATTTTTAGCCCAATTTTACCTCAATTTGCTCAAAATCCTGATTGCATGTGCAAATTCTGCCAACAGCAACGTGTTCAACGGAAAAAATCTTTGGTGTGCATTATACTTCGGTAAAAAAAGTGACTTTTTATCAAGCAATGTAATTATTACGTAATTGAAAAAAAGCAAAAGAGAAGGATACTCAATTGTACTCCTTTAATTTGATTATGTATTAATGAAGGTCATTGATAACAAGCGCTATCGCTTTCTTTCGAGACTCGTCTTTATTTTAAGCTCCTGGTAAAGAATTAGATGATAACTTTTTATAAAAGTTACACGTGACTAATGACGGATATCGAGATGATACAAGCTGACAATAATGAATACAATAATTTACTATAAATAAGGCGACGCGCTGCCCGGCTAAAGAATACAAAACTAAATACCTAAGCAAGAATTTCGTCTTAACTTAAATACATTTAATGACAGAACATACTTAAGATTATGCTTTCTTAATAGGAATACTTTGCATCACTGCGTACAAGGTTGCTTATATTAATTACAAGCTAATTAAAAGTGATCGAAATCGACCTCGCTCTTCAGTGGCGCGTGCCAACCGCGATTCGCGGATTACGCGATTTCTCGGTGTTTTTGAGGGCAGTCGAAAGCCACGCGATAATTGCTTCGTCCTTAACGCCACGGGGCTCTTTGGGGGTCTCTCGCGAATTCCATTTCGTGAACGCTTCTTCGTAGATCCTCGTCATAAGTCACACCGCGAGGACCCGTGCCAAATCGCCTCTCTCGACTAATTGCACTCGACAATTGCGATCGATCGGAAGCAGGCAGGAACGAAGAGAACAGTTCTGGTTCTCCAAGGCGCATGTTGCCGACGTCGTATCCTCGTTCCGATCTTTGCAGTTGACGACTGCCGCCCGTTTCGAACTCACTCTTCCGCATGACCGACCAATTCGCCGGAGATGTGCCAAGTGATAGTATCTCCGTGGCAGATCCTTTTGTAGATCCTTGCTCGACGAAACAACGATCGAATTCCGCCAAATCGATTTCCGCCGCTTCACCGAACGTTTTCTTCAGTTTCACATCGGACTTTTACTGTTTCTTTCTATGAAAAAATTTCAATTGTATTCTATAACTATTAAACGTTAAATTAATATATTATTAAACTAATTATTAACGAGATTCATAAAATATAAATAAAAGTACTTTAATCCGCAAGCGCTATTTTTAATTAATTGAATTAAGTTTCAAATTTAGATCAGAGCAAAAGTTAGCTTTGAAGGAATCTAAATTTATAAACTATCCAAAATTTTGAAAGAGAAGTAAAAAATTGTATAAAAGATAAGAAAACAAATTTTAATCCATATTTAATACAGTATCTCAATTGATTTGATTCTGAAATTTAGAATCGAATCGAGCATTTATCTTCAAAGGAATCTAAAAATATATAAATTATTAAAAATTCTTTTAAAAGGAACTAAAGAATTTTATGCAAGGTGAGTAAAGGTATTTTAATCCAAATTTAATGTAATTATTTCAATTGATTTGATCCTCAAATTTAGCTCGAACAAAACATTTTTCTCTAAAGAAATCTAAATTTCCAAACTTATAGATCCTCGCATTTCTGTCATCACTTTCAGTATATAGTATAATCTATTAATTGCTTTTAAACAACTTAACACTCATATATTCTAGACGTACAGTAATTATCTAAAAATATAACATTAAAGAAATATCTTAAAATTCGGAAACTTTAAAAACGCTCGATACGGCGACAGGAAATTCAACGATTCGAGATCACTCGTCGTCGAGCAGGCTCTCTTCATGGCAGGCAGGTACGAGGATGGCGAGGAAGGTACGTGAAGTAAGTTTCCCGCGCCCTCGCCGGAACCTTACGACGGCCCCGCGAGGTCGATCAGAGCTTGTCCTGGAGCGCCTGGCGCAGCTCCTCCGTGGCCTTGGCCACGTCCTGACCCTGTCGATGGGAGTGCATCTCCGAGCGCGTCGAATGCTGCACCGCCGAGTTCGACCGCCGCACGGAATTGCCGCTGCCGAATTTGGGCCGCGGGATCCGCACACGTTGAACGTCGCTCAGCCACGACTCCATGGCTCCCTCTCCCCTGGGAAGAAAGCAGTGATGCGCATTTATAGGCGATTAGAGTCTGAACTTTGTTAGAACTGAAGCGAAGCGCCGAAGCGAGGAGGAGTAGC